CCAACTCTTTTTTTTTTTTTGCCTGTTTTCAAAGTCTGAACAACTTGGGGAACTTAAACGTTGCTTGTGCCTTTTCTGTCACTCTGTTGCCACTTATAGTTCCTAGCAGGAATGGTGCAAATGATTTTAGGTGGAGTTTGGGCATCTTCTATCGCAACTTCATCAGGCAAAGCTGCACTGCTCAGATGATTTCTGTCACCTTAATGAGGAGTAATGTAATGTTTTAATAATGCGAGATCTTGTTACACCTCTAATAAATAAAGTCCAGTTTCACCATTCACCTCAATTAATAATTGAAAAGGGTTCAGTTGTATATAATGTGATATCATTGAAATGGAGCTATTGTGTGAAGGCTTCAGAGGTTTGTTAGAGAAAATTAGTGAGCAAAGTGTCATGAATATGCCCTCTGTCCAGTGTGACTGAAACTGAGATATTTCGCAAATAAACCTTTAGCAATAAAATCAATTTCTAGACTTGCAGTGCTGGCACTCACATACCACAAGACTTAAACCTGCTATAGCATCAAAAGGTGGTTCTACGAAGAGCTTTAAACATAGCTATTCCACGATTTTCAAAGTCGCGTTTGTAAAAGATTTTCTAAATCGTTTATTCTTTTTTATCTACTTAAAGATCCTTTTATTACTTTGTTTCTCTGTCATAAAAAATCCCCCCCACTCCCCCCCCCCCCCCCAAAAAAAAAAAAATTACTTTAAAGTCTGTTGTTTCAACAACACAGAATGTGGAATAATTAAAGGAGTACATTTGATTACTTTTGCAGAACCATGACACCCCCAAATATAAAGCCAAAGCTGCTCTTCATCAGAGTTTTGAGTTCATACCGACTTCACCTTTCTACACTGAAGATCTGAAGTTCAGAAAAATAGATTTTTTTTTCCACCATTGTGAGAAGAATTTAAAATGTTATCTTGAAATGTACAAAGAAGAAGAAGAAGAAGAAGAAGAAGGAGAAAAAAACATGGGTACTAATGTAAAAAATATGACATCTGGGGAATCTCTTCCTCACTGTAGTTTCGATCAGTTACTGACACCTTCTCATAGCCAGGAATTAAATTTCAGTCTGGGAGAAACATATTCATAGACTAGCCTGACAAAATGCTTTTAGATGAAGATATAGTGTAGAGACTGATTGTGTTAGATTTTAGTGGCTCATGAGGGAAATGAAGCTAATAAGCTAAATCTTAACATGTCAAACTTAATAAAACATCTTCCGACTCATTGCCCAGAGGAGCACAATGAATTTAGAGTAATAAGAGAGTAGCAGTCAGAAGCATCTGAAGCTGTAGCTCTCCTTAAAGAAGAGAGTGATTAAACTAAAAATCTGACAATTACACAGAAGGAATCAGAAAAAAACTCATATGAGAAGAACCACTTGGAGTAAACCATCATTATTGAATGACTATTTGTGAATATTGCATTATTTGTTAGGAATGTGGATGTAAATTTTACAGAGGTAAAATGCAGAGGAAAAGCACAAACACGTCAATTAGATCAAGGCTATTTTAATCTTTGTGAGATTGTTCGAATTTAAGTAGTACATTTGTTAAAAGATCAATTTTGATAACAAAAAAAAAGTACAGTGGTTAGTTTATAAATGAAGGGATTTAGCATCAGTTAATAGTGATTAAAGCAGCAACACACACATAAATCTGTTTTAATGAGATCTGGTAGGATAGAAAAAACATACAGTAGCGTAGCATTGTGAGGTGAAAGTAAAGTGATGCATGGTTTTGAAAGGGTCAACGTGTCGTGGAGCCACGTTCGGCTGCAGTTCAAACTCGACGGCCTCGTTTACATGGAGCCGATTTCCAGTGGAGCTGTAACATTTTTGTTTACGCGTCTCCAGTGATGAAGCCTCTGACTTTTTGACGCCGTTTCTCAAAGTAAAACCTGGAGTCGTGCTCTTTATATTCTATTCTAATGGCATCGTCGGTGTTCTGAGGAACGCTTTAAAGCTTGTTTTAAAACCGAATCTTGTTATAAGCTTTAACACAACATTCTCCTTGACCTGTCTGCCATGTTTCTAGACCTTCATGACGCTGCTTATTCTTTAATGTTCTCCTACGATGCTCCGAGGCCTTTACAGAACTGTATTTATATCGAGACTGAATTACGCACAGAACTCAAATTTTGTTCTGTTTTCCATCTTTCTTATTTTCATTTCGAGGTATGAGAGAAAAGATAACATGAAAGCGAGCCACATTTCTCAGATTTTCATTTGCAAATGAGCTGACGTGATTCTCTTTATATCAGTTCCATCCATGACCCTGCTTGTGTTGGCCTGTGGTAGCTGCTAGTGTTCTGCCAATGAGTCTGATTTCCTCTCACTTTTCCTGGACACAGTGTTTGCACAAGCATCTCCATAATCCTCTTGTCTAGGATTTGGCTGCTGCTGTTTTAGACGAGATGAAGACAATTCTTCCCACTGTGTAAATGTGAGCACAGCCTTTGACACTTTATTCACGTCACTTTTTTATTTTTTTTAAAGCACGTGTCCATTTTTTCCTCCCTCACGCTCCCAGTCCCTCTCTGCGTAACCCTCCCACCCCGACTATGCCTGTTCGGATCGATCCAGCCATGTCTCCTGGTCCCACATGTCATCTTTTTTCTTTGACTGACTCTCCTCTGCCTTCTGCTTGGTATTCTGGGGTTGGAATGCATGCACCATCTCAGATCCATCAGATCCGATAGTAATGCCGCACCATGACTCTATGAAATAGCAAGATGTGTGCAGAGGGAAGACGGGGATGGTGAAACAAGAGTGTGTCTTTGTGTAGTGGGTGAGGTTACTGGAGTATAGGTCAGTGGTTTGTCAAAGGAAAGAGAAAGGTAGGTTGGTAGATATTTTATTTGTTTTATGGCAACACTTAAGTGCTTTATTAATGGTGTTAATTGTGTTATATTGAACACATAATGTACTATAATGAACACAAAACCTAAAATAATAAGAATAGACTAATCACTAAAAGAGCAACGGTTCATGGCTAACTAAAATGATTGATAACAAACGTAAATTCTACATACAGTCCCTCTCTGAGGGAATTATGATACAAAAAGATGAGGCGCAACGTCTACCCTAAGAAAATAACTTTGTGAGCGATGTTTGTGTGTGCAACGTGCGTGAAGGGTTTACAAATCAAGACTATCTGCTTCAGCATCTTTTTCATTACTTTCGAAAACCTTACAAGCATGAAAATGGTCAACCACAAACTCGTCAACAAGGAAGCAGACGCAACCATCGACGAAGCGGATGCTGTGATTATTTCACCTGGAGTGAATTTATCTCAACTGCAAGGATTGATATTTAAGCTGCTTGATTGACGACGCTCACAGAGCTTCCTGATCAGAACAAGTGTTGAAGCAACTCCAAAATCAACACCCACCAACTCAGAGTTGGTAAAATTGAAAAACAAAAAAAAACAAAATCAACGCTACAGGTTTTGCAACTGTGTCGAGGAATGTAGTGTCTGTAGCATCTGTGAGCCACGTGGCACTCCTGTTTAAGGAATTTTAATTAAAACTGAATTAAAAAATATACTTTATTAATATAAATACAAAACAAATGCACTATATAAAATCTCCTTCAGGGTCATTGTGCACGGCTTAGCCTGCAGATGGAGAGAATTTCTTTCAGCAGATTATATTACAGAAGATCTCTTGACTCTTTTGCTCTAATAATTATGATCCTTTGAACCGACAGAAATGTGACAGTTCAGACGTCTTAATTTTAGAGGTATGATTGATTAATCATCAGCAATGTTAGTGAAACTGATTTTAAAATCATTATTTAATCACAGTTAAGTTATGATTTAACAAGAGAGATCTATTATGGTTATGACTTAATATTACTTGCGAAGTATTATTTTTTAACAACTCAATTCAGAGCGGGAAAAAAATTGCTTTGTTGTTACCCTTGAAGCCAAGCATATTATTTTTTTCCATTCAATATCTCGTATTTCTGAGGTAGTTGTTTGAAATACAAGCTACGTATTCCATTTCTGGTTGATGTGAAATTGTGCTCCTGTTGCATGCCACTCCGCAGCTCTGAATTTCATCTACTTTATAACAACATTTTCTAGAAGTGAGTTTATACGGGCCACATTCAGTGCAGCAGCATAAGCGCACACAGCTTCACAGTGCACATTCCTCTGCAGTGCATCCTGCATATTCCTCACACTTCTCATTTTGTTCTCTTTAACTCGCTCATCATTCCTTTCTTACATGTCAAAGCAGAAGCAGACAAGCAAGTGCTGATCATTTTGATGTTTTCTCATTTTTCATTTATTAGTCGCTCTCTCTTTTTTTTTTTTGCTCTCTTCCTTTCAAAAGCCTCTCAATCCTCAGTGTGATCTCCCCCATGGCTTTCCTCTACAGCAGTGCGTTGCCTTGGTAATTACCAGTTGTCTTAAACAGACAGATGGAATAAGAGAGAGTGACGGGCAATTTTCCCAGAGTCTGCTTTCCCCATATTTGTGCACGTTACTCCTTTTTTTTTTTTTTTTTGCACCTGTGTTATATGTATGCATGCTTCCCTTCTCCTTCTCGCCTCTTCCTTCTTTATGTCGCTCCTCCTTTCACTAACTTCTTGTGAGTTTGTGCGCAACTGATGTGTTTGTGTGAAAAGCAAAAAAAAAAAAAAAAAAAAAGGAGAGGAATTACCTGACAAGATGTGTTAGCTGAAGATGGGAGTGCGATAGTCTCATCTCCTTCTCGTGTGCTGGTCGTTTTAGATGCCAGGTGTCACTCTGGACCACCACAGGGGACTCAGAAAGCATCGCCTCCCTTTCTTCTTTTCTCTTTCTTTCCAGCACGGCCCAAACATAGCAACAGGATTAACTAAAGGGCCATTTCTGTCTGTAAAGGATTAGATAGGTGAACGATGTAAGAAGAGAGTCAAGCATATAGTATATCAGCTGCTGACATCTTTTTTATCACGTTTCAGAGGTCACTTTATCTTTATGTTATCCATTTTCTTCTTTCAGGCTGGCATGATCAGGACAGAGAAAGAGGAGTTTTTTATTGAACCAGTGGAAAGGGGTGATGGAGTAATAGAAAAAGAGGAGGACGGAGGAGGAGGGAGGACACACATCATCTATCGCTCGTCAGCTGTTAAGAAAGTGCCCATCAGCAGCCCAGCGGCGGACTACCACTCCAGAGGTTAGTCTGTGGTTCCCATGGTGCTATCCTCCACTTTTATACATCCTTGACTAAAAGCTCTTCATGCACACTTCAGCACCATTCTCATATTTCTGCATCTCCTTGAACTTAAACCATGCGGACAAAGCAGAGTCCCACAGTGTTGGTGCAAAAACTGCCAAATTACAGCTAAAAAGAAAAAAGCTTTTCTCATCAGCATTTTCACTTCTAAATATTTTATTTGCTTAGCTATTTTTTATTTTAAAAGTCTACGGTGCCGCTTGAGCTGTAAACAGCGATTCAATTAAAAAGCCAGCTCTGCTCGTAAAAGTTTGACACAAACAACACGGGCCATTGTTTTCCATATGTTTTGTAATACAAAATGTTTAAGCCACGTGGACAAAGCAGTAAATGAGTCCCACACACCTGAGTAACACATATGGTCATACTTACTTTTTTTTATTTTGCTTGGCCCATGTTCTGTCTGGCCATTTGGGGCATTTCATGCCAAGTGAAAACTGAGTTTGGTTGACTATCCTGCTGTGAATTGCGTCATGTAAATTTACACACTCATCTTATAGTGTGCTGTAACTGTCCTGGAAGGTGAATTTTTTTTCAATTTCAGAAAAACAAAAAATAAAAAAAACATGCTTCCATAGTCTTTCATTGCATAAAATAGAGGAAAATTGGAAACATTATCAGCTTTGTTGCTAGCAAATAATTAGTCGGGTCAGTAACAATTATCAAATCTTATTAGTTCTTCAATTTCTGACAATGACGCACTCGACTCGGGCTGAATAACGTATGGCACCCACCCTATCTTTCTCATACCTTGTTTTTATCGGACTACGATATGCAAAGACAGTGTGTCATATGCTGCTATCAAAATTAAACTTGTACTCAAATGTACCCTGCTGCTGGTGCATTCACTTCCCAACAAGAAAGGTGTGACATATGGAGCAACACATGGTCTACTGATAATGGCAACTTCAGTAGCTAAAATAAATTTACCAATTATAGGCATTATATATATATATATTTTTTTTTTTACTGAAATGGAAAAAAAAAAAACTGAAACATCTTGAAGGGACTTTAGTTTATTAATTCAAGGATCTGACACAGCATGCCAGCTGTAGGATTAGACAGAAGGCAAATATGCAAAGTGGTTAGAAAAACCAAGTTGGAAATATAATCATGAAAGAAAAGTTACAATTTAGTTTAAAAAGTGGCTTTATGTTTGTTCAACATCCAGCAAATATGCAATAATTGCATAATTGCAATCAACTTTTTCTTCCTCTCGTCTTTAACTTTAACATCTTAATGCTGACGAAGAAAATTAAATTTGAAATATAATTTCTACTTTCTTTTGGTAATTTTAAGGGTGTTCAAGTATGTGCGAAACTATATATGTATCGTGAGTCTATATATATATATATATATATATATATATATATATATATATATATATATATATATATATATATATATATATATATATATATATATAAAGCATGAAAGGGGGAATAGAAAAAAGACAAAAAATACAGCAATCCAAAGTTCAAAACAGAGTCTACACTGGGTAAAAGTGGAAGTGTTGCACTTTTTTTTTCTAGCATATAAGTTCATAACACAATTGCAACATGAATAGTAATTGCAACGTTTCCTGCTAAATATGGCGTTTTGTCCAGGGAGGTGGAGTAAGTCTGCAGATCAGCACCTAACAGACCGACACCCTTCCTAGGAGAATAAAAGCTCCCAGTGTTAAACCATCTGTCTGTAACTCTGAACTAGTTGTCACAAAAAGCAGGAAGTGAAATCTTTACATCGTCCAAGAAGACATTGTAATTTCTGAACAGTTTCTGGGCAGCACTCACACAAACGTTTTCCAGATTTTCTTTTCCAAAAATATTTGGACGCTTGTGTAGGAGGACTTCGACTAATATCAAAGGGGGACCATACAGGTGTGAGTCGAAGCTCATTATAATGAGTGCATTGCAACAGATGAGATCTGTGTCTTCCTATTCTGAGCGGTTGACTCGCGAATGTCTAATAATATACCGAGAGAGTGAGAGAGTTTCCATAGGAACACCCAGCGAGGACAGACTGCATTTGAGTAACATAAATCTGCTCCCAATGTTACTAATGCCTGGCAATGCATCCTCTTACAGCCACGTCTCTGCAGCCTGACCACATATACACGCTGGGGAGAACAGGGAAAAGTTTATTGAGAACACAGGCATGTAAAGGATGTAACCAAAAAGCTTACACAACTCCCCTGACTGTGAATTTACACTTTAGAGCACACACACACACACACGCACACACCCTGCATGTGTGCAGACAAAGGAAACACACACTGTCTCTCAGTGCGTCTCACTGCTCCTTGTTGCCTTTGAATCTGTCTTTCTAATGAAGAGTGGGGTGCGGATCAATAGCGTAGGATAGAACAGGCCGCTGTGTGTGTGTGTGTTGGTGTGTGTGCGCGCGTCTGCGTGCGTGCACGTTACAGCGTGGGCATCAGTTCTGTGGTCGTCTGGCTCTGAGAGCTGGGATTTTCAAGGCTAAGCAGACAGACAGACTGACAGACAGACAGACAAGCAGGCAGGCATGTGCTGCTCCCAGTGGTATTTCATGTGGATGTCTCTCCACTTTTCGCCCCGTTTTTTTTTTTTTTTTTTTTTTTTTTTGCTTTTTGTCTTTGCTATTTTAGAAACATTATGCAAACACAAAGTTTACCTTCCAGCTGTTGCATCATGTTGTTGTAACATCAGACATATAGGAAAGCACCTTGCAGAGTTTATGCAGAGCTTGACTTCTAATTAACACCAAAACTACATTTGTTTTATACTTTTTTTTTTTTGCCTTTTATTTCTCAGGTAATCACTCCTGCAGATCGATCAGGCACATTAACATCATTAATTAAGATTGATCAATCATTTCTGTTAATTCCCCCGTGTTAGGCGTGCTTCATCCGCACCCTGACTTATTTGCTCGGCAAAGTCAGAAGGAAGGAAGTTATATTTAGCGAGGTAATACAGGATCTGAAAAAGAACAGAAGGAATTAGGAGCAAGATTGATTGCTTTCTTGCACCGTAAGCCAGGGAGGTGTGAATCAATGCTCTAAATGGAGAAAGCGACCCTCGTTATTAATGTGGTACATTCGTCAATTAATCGCTGCAGCAATAGAAAATGAAAGATTGACTTTTTTGTTTTTGTTCCGAAGCGGACGGAGCTCCATCGTTCAATCTGTCTCTTCTCTTCTGTAAAATTTGTATTTTATGCTATTTCATCTGCAGCTTTGATCGTTGTCCCCGTTTTTTTTATTTCAAAATGTACTTTCCTCTTTCCGTTTTGTCTGTGGCATTTCTGTTTTCGATACTTTTCTTGGCCCACGCTGATTTTCGTCCTGTTCTTTTTCATCCCATAACCATAACAGAGAGAGCAGAGTTAGTGTTTTTGTCTGATATGACTTTGGTTTCTTGTTTCTCTGTGTTTCCAACTCGAGGGTATTGAGACTTTAAATGCCTAAATTTCTCAGCCACAGGGCAACTTTCTGTACTTTTTATAGTTTGTGTGGGGAAAAAAAAGAGCAGAATCTGGTTCATGTGGGGACATCAAGTTGTATTTAAGATGTATGGCATCAATCAGCTTAATTGTTTACATTTTTTTTGGCTGTAGTGACCTTTATTTGACAGCAAATGACAGAATAGTTGACTATGAGAGAGGCTAAGAGATGCAGAAAAGGTCAAAGGGTCGTGACGGCTGCATAGAGGTCCGGCGCCTCCATACATGGGTCGTGCGTCTTACACCTGCACCAAATTAGTTCAACTTTGAGCAGCCAAACGCAACAGAGTTCAGCACAAATTTCCTGTCCTTTGCAGAAAATCTGAATGTTTTTATGTCAACAAATCCTTGTTGCCTTTATGCTTTTATGATAAGCCTAATATTTGTCTCATATTCATACAGTTGTACTTACGAAAGCAGGCATTCTTACTTCTTTGTAGTATTTTAATCAGACTTTACCTTTTTATTTAGTACAAAGACAAGTGAAGGAAATGCTGCAAACAAATCTAACGAACAGAACCCTAGTAATAATTTATTATTATATCATATAACTGCATCCAGATGCTGCTTTGCTTACAGGTGTCAGTTTTATATATGGGTTTTGGCGACACACTCTGGTAGTTCACGCGTCGTCGTGCGTCTTTTGGTTATTTTTGTTTCGAATGTTTCAATGTGTGTGTGAGAGGGTAGCTGCTACAAAACAGGCCAAACCAAACTTGGTATGTATTCCAGATTTCCCAGTGCAAAAGACTGAACTATACTTTGTGGAAGTGATGCTTTATTAGTTTTCACTGAATTAGAAACCAATAATCTTTTGATTTTTAATCTATTTAACAGTTGCCGCAATGATTGATAATTTAATAGTAGGTAGTTGACATAAATGAATGTAAAGATTTTTTTTTTCCTTTTAAAGTGATCCGTTAAGTCTGAAACACCATAAATAATAATATTAATAGTTTATGAGCATGAGGGGTTTGCTGCGGATGACTACTCCTGCAGGCAATAATTATCCATCCATCCATCCACTTTCTTTACACCCTTGTCCCTCAGTGGGGTCGGGAGGGTTGCTGGTGCCTGTCTCCAGCTAACGTTCTGGGCGAGAGGCGGGGTCACCCTGGACAGGTCGCCAGTCTGTCGCAGGGCAACACAGAGACACACAGGATAAACAACCATGCACACACACTCACACCTAGGGGCAATTTGGAGAGGCCAATTAACCTGACAGTCATGTTTTTGGACTGTGGGAGGAAACCGGAGTGGCAATAATGATATATTTTTAATACTTTAGCCAAATTTAGCTGGGCTGACATTAGCTATAAGAAAACTGAACATTCAAGAACGTTTTAGGGCTACTTTATGTAACTTTGTGGCAAAAAAAGGGAGTGAAACACCAATAACATAACAAGCTCAACCTTACTGGACTACACGGGATTAAAACGCTCACTAGCGTGAGGTTG